GAAGTGCACCACAAAAGTGTAGTCAGTTCCTAAAGGAATATTTTTATTTCAGTCAGTTTTCAAAAAGATGCGATTCTTCCAACTTGCAATATTGCAAAGGTGCATACTAAAAAAAAGTATCTCAAAATAACCTCACCAAAAATCCTTACAAAACTATGAACTATTCTTAAAAAAATTCTTAAAAAAAATCAGGAGAACATAATGTTGTTTGTGAAATAGGGGGGGGGACAGACATAAAAAAACAAAACAAAACCAAAAACCTGACCCAAACAAACAGACCTCTTACTGCCCTAAAACCTTAACTCTACTCCTCATGCATCCTGTGTGAAAAGAAGCAACCAGGGGAAAAATGATTTAAGCATCATACAGCAAAAGGACTAAGCAAGATTTTATAAAGCTTTGCCACAGATATGACATTTCTCAACTTCTGAATGGTTGATTTTGCACGCGCATAAGGTGTGTTTCATAATGCATGTTTTTGTTTTTTCTTGTTGTTCGTTGTTGTTGTTGTCTTTGAGGATGAGAAGCTGCTACCCAAATTGGTAGCAAAAGAGCATTCAAATCTCAGAGTGGAAAGATCACTTCTTCATGTTGTATGCTGGCATTCGTGGATGCTGGATGAAACTGAGCGCAGTCCAGATCCTATTTTCAACAATCTCAGAGGACCGACGCTTTTATCAGATGATCAGGAAGTCAGGGAAGTCACAAGAACTCATTATAATGGGAAATGCTAGGTAATTTAAATGTATTGTATTGAAATGCCTTTTACTATATAACTACGGTCCCAGTGTAATTAAAGATGAAATACCAGTTTTCTCCAACTTCAGAATGGAAATTGTAACAACTACTTATACTTTTATTAAACTACTGAATTCTTGTAACCATACTTGCCTTCTATCCCTTCCTCCCTGCCCTAACTAGCTGTTATTAATGGCACAGCTAGATATTACGTTAGTTTTCTACTATTCACAAAGCTTCTTTGCCCAGTAAGATAAACTCTGTTAACGTTGAGCTTTACACCATCCAAAAGTTTTATCTAATTAAGTCAAAATATTTTTAACTATCTGTCCTGGTTTTGGCTGGGATAGAGTTAATTTGCTTCCCAGTCCTGCTGTCTTGGGATTTAGTATGAGAAGAATGTTGATAACTCTGATGTTTCCAGTTGTTGCTAAGAAATCAAGGGCATTTTTTGGTTTCCCATGTTCAGCTGACAAGCAGGTGTGCAGGAGCTGGGAGTGAGCACAGCCAGGCAGCCAGCCCAAGCCGGCCAATGGAAATATTCCATACCACAGACATCATGCTTAGTTTATAAATGGGGGTTGGCTAGGGGGCAAAGAACCTCTTTTCCGGGAGTTCAACTCTCTCTTTTTCTGGGACTTTCATCTTTTCCGTGAGTTTGAACTTTTCCGTGAGTTTGGCAAGTTTTGTGAAATTTGCAAGTTCAGCAAAATCCACAAAAATCGTGAACTCCAGGAAACCTGCAGGTTCCACAATCTGTGTTTACAGACTGGCTACACAATTGGTTGTCGAGCAGTGAGGAGAACTGTATTTTGTATGTCTTGTTTTGCATATTCATTAGTAGTAGTAGCAGATCCTTTGTTGTCTTCTTAAACTGTCTTTATCTTAAGCCACGAGTTTTACCTTTTGTCCGTTTCTCTGCCCCATCCCACTACAGGGAAGGGGAGGGGTGAGAGAGCTGCTGTCTAGTGCGTAGTTGCCAGCTGCTGGGTTAAACCACAACACTAGCGTAGTTAATGAGATGCCTGTTTATTGTTACAATTTTTGTCTTGTTTAAACTACTCCCCAAGTAACCTTAAGTTAGAGCTATTAATCAAATTGCTTAAATTCATGCATCACCTTAAGCCTGTTGCGTGCCAGAATATATTCTGTATCTTCACCGCAAAAAGTATGCTTTTCTCCTGTTGGAATGAAAAACGCCTCTAATACTCTAGATATAAAATCTTAGTGGAGAAAGGCAGCAAACCCAAATTTTTACCTCAGCATAACAAAATCCGACTTGGCAACAGGGTTTACCTTTAGGAGCTACACTGATGTAAAGACTGTTGTCTTAACCACTCAGATTTCACAGCCAGTATCAGTAATTAAAGTTTTCAGTACAAAACCAAAAATTTTAGTAATTGAACCATATTCAAATAATAGTTCCAGTCTTTCTGCCTTTGATCATTAAAGCCTAAAACAAATTATGGCTTCACTTTAAGATGTTAACTGGTGCAAAAGTAATCTTCTCTGTCTAATGTTAATTTAATTTCTGAAGTTAAGAGGTGTTTTGTTTTTTTAATATCTTCATAGCAGCAGTGATGTCTTCCAGGACACACATACTGAATCCATGGACTGTTGGCTAATACATCATTTTAAACAGCCATATTGCTGTAAAACTGTAAATGGGATGATTTTAAAGCTAATTGTTATTTTTAACACCACTCATTCTATCTGGCAATATAAAGACATGAGATACTGAAATTCTGTATCACATTTATGATTTAATACTTTAATGATGCAGGTTGACGAGGATATTTCTCAAACATATTCATGAAGTTTCTACAAAAACAATGTCACAGATTTTGCTCGATAAAAAAAAATGAAAAGGCTCTACATTGTGATACATCACTTCCGTCAAAGTCTAGTACTTCACTAATCTCAGGTCACCTCCAGCAAAAAACTGTGCCTGAACATCTTTCAGCCCCAAGCTAAAGTATTTCTGGCCAGCGCTGACTATTGAACCTGGAGATGTGTTGCTGTTCAAACTGGTATTTTAAGTCATTTTAGGCTTTCTTATGCAAGAGTTTGATTCTCCTGTGGTTACACGCAACCACTTTGAAAAAAAGGTCTCAGAAATACTTTTCAGCAACATATTCACAAAAAAGAAGCTGAACAGAGTCCAGATGAGACAGTTTTGGATCACCTAATCTAATTCTAGAAACTTGCAGCAATTAACCGAAGCATAGAGAAAGAATGTTGCAATGTTCTGCTTGAACATGTCTGGACTAGAACTAAACTAATGCTTTTATTTCTACAAGTCATTGAAAATTATGAACAGTATAAGCTGTTATTTAAAACTTGGGCACTGAAAATGTAACATTTATGTGAATATAGATAGGTTAGGGAAACAGAAAGGCGTTCAGAAAAATCATCACTGCCTAGAATATAGCTTAGCCTGTATCTACGCATCTCCTGTCTCTACTGCCACCTTCTTGAGAGGAAAAGAGTACCATGCCATCAGTAAAATCAAGAACATTCACTCTCCTCCAGTGACTGTGTAATCTGAACTGGTTATAATTCAATGACTCTGCAACAAATCACACTGCCATTTATTCAAGTCAGTCAGACTTGGAGGGGTGAAAGCATGGAGGGTGGCAATCTTTACATTCTAGGCCAAGTATTTCCCCCTCTGAGGTAAGAAACTCTCAGGTTAACTATTATTGTCTAATGTTAAAGGAATTTGAAGACATCATATTTATTCAAATCTAGTATCTTGCTTAAGTTTCTTCATAGCAGCATATTCGACATCACACCATTCTGTCAACAAAAATATATTAAACTTATTGCCAATGCAGCTGTTACCATACATTAATAAACTGAGCTTAGAAAACTACAGAGCCCACAGCCATTCATGGCCATATTACTCAAGGTGAAGATTATCTAAGCTTAGTATAGAGGGCACTTGGGTCAGCAGCATTTCTGCACCTCTGTGCAGCACATGAACGCCGAGGTACTCCTTCAGGGCTGACATATTCGAAACCAAGACATTTGTTTTTCTAAGCTAAGAAGACCCATAAGCATGCAGCCATATCTACAGTGCATTTCAGAAACCAGGAACAGAATGTAGTGAAAAGAAATTTCAGTAAGGCAGGGAAGTCTACCCAGCCTACCAGATCAAATTACCCTAGCTATGCATGGAAGAGAGAGAATGCACCAGAAGAAACATCAGAACAGGGTTAAGAGGAAAGGTATCCACTTCACTGCTAGAGTCCACACCTGTGATTTCATTCAAATGAAGGGGAGAAACAAACTGACTTAAAGACAATGTAACAAGAACAGGACTAGAACCAGAAAACACCTTAGTAAGGACAACAAATAGATTTGTGCAATTCTGTAATACTTCCTATGATTTATGAAGCAAAATAGCAAGGTAGATGATAAACATTACCCTCCCATTTGGTAAAATCTTGTTTGAGTTTTGCTATTCTCTAACTTCCTACAACACATAAAGCCTCTGCACTTGTCCCCATGATCTACCATGACTTCTACATTGCATGTGGCGATGTCCACACACTTAGATCGAGTTTGACTTTGACACATATCCTGCCTAAGAAACCTCCCTTGCACATTCTTAGGAAAGGAGATACCAGAAATCTATGTTAAAAGCTGTCTGTCTGAAAGGTGAAAGAAAACACTTTAAATTGTAATTGTACCAATCTATAATGTAACAAATAATGATGAAAAGGGAGATGATCCTACTATTTTACAAGTATTGCTACAAGTTTTACAGCAAGGCAAGGAAAAAAACTTCAAAGAATTCATATAATGCTGCAGTCTACTGCAGCTCATCTTCAGCAAGTCCACGTTTATCTTCAACAAGCTGTACAAATGTTTTCAGCACTTTTAAAACAAGCTCTTCCAGATACTGCATGCAGAAGTGTAGAAAAATCACTATCTGTCCTAATTGGTTTGAACATTATAATTGCACTTGTTTGAAGTTGGCATTGAGGAGTTAATCACCTACAGAACTCTGTTACTGTGACAGTAACACTTGGACATCACTAAATAATGACTATATTAGACCGAAACTGAAAGTACATTATTTGTTTAAAGGTTTTGCAACATATTTTCAGTTTTAACACTGATTAAATCACTTATCTATACTTCTAAGTGTTAAACACGATTTCACAAAAATGTCACAAACAATCCTTTCCATTTAATATCTGATATTTCATATTGCAACCATTTTCTGAAAAGTTCTAATTACTTTTAGATCCTACCTGAGAGATTCTGCCATCCGCCTTAAGTCTTCATTTTGCTGCTTTAAACGTTCAAGTTTAGCAAGTATCTTGGATAATTCGCGACTAGAGTGATCTGGGTGCTCACTATCTCGTACCAGGTGTCCACCAATATAAAAGAGTAAAGTCCCCCAAGCAAAGAGGATGAGCATAATCCAACGCCAGGAACCAGTCCATGGCCGCATCTTCAGAAGTTCAGTTCACTCCAGAACTGCTTCTGCTCACAAAATAACAAACATCCTTAGCCTGTACAAAAGCGGATGGTTTCAGTTCCTTTCCTTCACCACACTGCACCGGAGAAAAAATATTCTCAGTGTTTATCTTACTGCAGCTCCTTAGAGAAGATCCTTATGGGGCTGTACATAGAAAGCATTAATATTGCATCATTCTTCATTTATATTCTGTGAAAAGAATAAAAAAAATCTGAAATTATAATTCTGATATATAAAAATACATTGGATTGCAGTAAAGTTAAAGGCATCATCATTAACATTCAGGAATGATGATAGACAGTATTACTACTTTCTGTCAAGGAGAAAAAGAATAAAAAACTTTTAAGTTTCCACAAAAAATACGCTGAGTTCAAGAATGAACCACATACAGAACACATAGTTCTGGGTTTGAAATGGCCAGAAGAAAAGCTACTTTTTATAAGAGAAATATTTACCAAGTCATGTGTCATTTCACACATTTAAACAGTTAAAAAATCATTCTGTGGCAAATTTAATAGTCTCCTATCAACAAAGAGCTTTTATGCATTTACATATTCATCTTAATTTTTTTCACTTTTATGCACTCTCTTCTTCATTTTATCATGGCTCACACCCTGTAGCAGAAGAGTTATAGTCATTATAACAATAAATTCTATCTGCAGGTAAATTGGCCTAGTAGCAGCTGTAATACCTATTAAGAAACTCACAAGCACTACAAAGAGTGTAACCAATAATTTCTAAACAAACAATCCATTGTATATCTTACTCTTAAATTCATAGTGGTTTCTGAAATGCCCATCTAAAATTAAATCCAACATTTTATTTCTTGCTTAAAATTGAAAGACAATACAACTACTCTCTTTACCCCTCCACTGCACTTGCTAAAATAAATAAGAACACTGAATGTTTAAGAGGTAGAAAACAGGAAGAGATTTCAAGTAGAATCTATGCGGTACTGCTATACTCACACATTTAAAAATTGGGCATGAGTTCAGAAACCAAATTTTCAGAAAAATTTTTCTTCTGCTTTAAAACTAATCAAACCCATTTTGACAAGTGCTATTATTAAAACTACAAAAATGCAAAAAAATACTCTAAAGGTAATACCTTCTCTCATTTAAAAACAGTGCACCATTTAAAAAAAATGCAAAATCACCTCAACTCATTTTCTGCTTGGCAAAACATCATTCAATGAGTGTAAGAATCTCCTCGTTCTACCTAGAACAGATTTTACGATTTAACTGATCAGCATGTCCAAAATCGTCTTAAGTACTTCCCATCTCTTTTCCTCTTTCTCTGCAATGTAACATTTCTACCTTTTGTAAAAGACATATACATGCTGTTTCAATTGAATTTCCAAAATAACCTATATTTCCAATTCTACAATCTGTAAATCCACCGTATTTCCTCTCATAAGCTATCCACACCCACCTTCTCCCAAATTATTCTTCTCTGTTTAATCCTCCTTTCACCTTAACTTCTTCTTCATTTCATTTAGGTTTTTTATTCTGTTTGAACTCATTTCAATTTTAGAGAAAAGACTTCTCAACTTGCATTAACTTCCAAACTCACCCAGTCATGGAGATGTGCCTAGAGCATACGCTTCCAGATACAAAAACATCTAAAACAGTATTTAAAATGCTGAAAAATTTCTCTAGTTATCTTGCAGAAGGGGTTTTGTTTGTATATTTTTGAAAGAGGCAGAGAAATTCCACTGAAGACTAGTAAGATGGTACATAAGATAAACTAATTGAAAATTGAATATTACTAATGAAATGGGAAATGTGTAGTACCTCTCTTCAGCTTTTCCATCTAATGTATCTGTGACAAGGTGAGTTACAAGCAGATCAGTTTTCTTTGAGAGTAATGTCAGAATACCACATTACGAGCATGTAATTTTCTACAGATCTCTAAGAAAGCTTTATATAGCTTTTGCTTTAGCTTGGCAGAAGTGTGGTACTGCCTTCAAGAAGATAGTGGTTGCTTCAGTAATCTTTACAGATCACAGCACAAGTAAAAAGAACACACATTACATGAAACAGAATAGGCCATGTACAACCATGGAGGATTGTTGCTATAAGTGAAGAAAGCATGGTTACTTGCAGGAATGATTAATATAAACCCCAATGGACTAATAATAGCATACTTCAAATATTCCTCTACTGATTGGGTAAATATTATGCTGGGAATTGTGATGACAATAAACAGATGTAACAGACATCATAAAATTACTGCTTAAGAGAAAAGCTACTATGACTACTCTTGACTTAATCATAAGCAGTTTGCAGAACTTAGATCAAAAGGTTTTTGGTGGAGGACCACTTTATAACAGTCTGCATAATATACTCAGATATAAACTCCATCTAGGAGCAACAAAGTAAAAAAAAAAAATCACTACAGCTGTGATTAATTTCAAGAAGAGGAACTATTTTAAAGAGAAGTGGACTCCATGCCACCTGGAAAGATATCATGGTCTTAATTAAAACAGCAGGTAAAGGTGACTTATAATTAGCAAAAAAGGTATCCTTTTAAAAAGTTACAAGCATGAGCAAATTATTAGATAGGTAACAGTGTAAATTCTGGTACATTAAAGACATAAAAATGAATACTAAACCTGTTATCCAAAGCAGATAGCTTACTAGAGACTCCAAGGTCAACAAATGATGACAGTATATAAGAACTGTTTAGAGTACTTTGCAAGGAAAATACCGGCTTTCTTTTTTCATATCACGAGAGCTTAAGTGGACTCACAAATCAGGTACCTTCTTTATAAGAGGAAGTGTTGGTCTGTCTCAAACAGTGTTAGTAGAATAGGTTATCAAACAAATCCAAAAAATTAATATAACAAGTCACCAAGAACAGACAGTATTCTTCTAATAGTTCTAAAGAAGTTAAAGAATGCAATACTTTCATTATTAACAGTAGTATGTATCCTCTTACTTATAATCACCTTGTAGCACAGGAATGGAAAATGAAAACAGTAAACTAAATTCTTTGTAAGGACTACAGCAGAGTTCCCCACAATTACAAGCCAGAAAAAAATTGTATTCACATCAGGCAAACTGACAGAAATAATAATAAGATGAAATAAAACTGCAGACATAAGGATGAATGAATCAAAGATTAAAAGTACCAGTATGTCTTTTGGAAAGAGAAATTGTGCCTCATAAATTTATTAAAGTCCTTTGAAGATGTAAACAAACACACAGGCAAGAGAGAACCAGTTCTAATTGCTACACAGTTGATCTAGTCAACATGGATTTCCAAATGGCGTTCAACAAGATCCTTAAAATGTTTCAAAGAAACTGAGCTGCAGGGAAGAAGAAAATTCATCACCCCATTAAAAGAGAAGAAACCTTCAGTAGGACTAGGCAATCCATTTAAGTGTAAAGAATGATCAGGGACCTCACTGGGACTCACAGTAGAGTTCATACAGTTTAATATATTCATAAGTGATTTGGAAAACAAGCTGAAAAGTGAGGTAACAAAGTCTGCACACATAGTGCAAAAGCTGACAGCAATGAACTGAAGCAAAGATGAAAAATCGGTTTATATCAGCATGTAGAGTTGTGTAGAGATGACCTTTGCATCATTATCCATCAGGAAAGGACTTTAGCTGTGATAGGTAGTTCCATAAAATATCAGCTCAGCATTGGGCAAAAAATAACCAAGTCCTCACAGTTTAAAAAAAAACAAAACACAAAAAAAATCAAACAACAACAAAACCACAAACATAAACCCAAGAATCCCAAAAATAAACCCCAACAGAAACCATTACCATTATGTCATTGCATAAAAACACTGTGTCCGAACTTTGATTACTTCATAGAATCATAGAATGCTTTGGGTTTGAAGGGACCTTTAGAGGTCATTTAGTCCAACCCCCCTTCAGTAAGCAGGGACATCTTCAACTAGACCAGGTTGCTCAGAGCCCCATCCAACCTGACTTTGAATGCTTCCAGGCATGGGGCCTCCACTACCACTCTGGGCAACCTGTTCCACTGTTTCACCACCCTCATGGTAAAAAATTTCTGCCTTAGATCCAGTCAAAATCTACTCTCCCTTAGTTTAAAGGCATAACTCCTTGTCCCATTGCAACAGGCCCTGCTGAAAAGATTTTCCCCATCTTTCCTATAGGCCCCCTTCAGGTACTGGAAGGCTGCTCTAAGGCTTCTCCACAGCCTTCTCTTCTTCAGGCTGAATAACCCCAACTCTCTCAGCCTTTCCTCATAGGAGAGGTGTTCCAGCCCTCGGATCATTTGTGTGGCCCTCCTCCTCTTCATATCATTCCAATTCAACCAACTTAAAAAGATCCAGTAGAAACAGAAATGATACAGAAAAGGTATCAGAGAGGGAGAAAAGAATTAACATAGCAAATCTATAAAAATCATTTATGGTACAAGAAAGTAAACAGGCTAAAATTGTTTGTTGTTACTTCTAGTACAAGGCGATAACAAGTAAAACTTTCTGGTTTGAATAGATTCAAAACAAAAGAAGGTATTTCTGTGCAATTCCAGCATGAAACTCATTTTGATCGAACACTGCAGGTGTTAAAAGTTTACGTTTCAAAAACCATTAGACCATTTCAAGGAAGACTCATCAAAGGCTACCCACAAAGATACCACCCCATACACAGAAACTCAAATCACATTGTTGGAGACTGGAGAACACACCAGGGTAGTATCACCATAATATTCTGGTTCTTGCAGTTTTCCCTAGACATCCACTACAAGCCAGTCTTGGCAATACATCAGACTAGATAAGCCTTTGATCTGATATGGTGTGAATACTTGTACAACAATATTTAAAATGTTAAACAAACAATATTTTGAATGTTATTAAAGGATTTGTGTTATCAAACACAAAAAGACCGCATGGTAAAAGGGCTAACTAACCTACATTTACTTCATAAAAACAAATTTTAGAACTCATCATTAATAAAAAAGCAACCTCTTGAGTATTTGGTTTAAAAG